CCAATAAACTTAAGCTTAACACTGACAAAACCTACTATATTATGTTTGGTAGCAGAGCAGGAGATGCGCAAATTAACATTAAGATCAACAACACTCTAATTACCAGACATAATGAGGGCAAATTCCTTGACAACAACCTGAATTTCAGCACCCATATCCAACACATAACCAAAAAAGTATCCAAAACAGTTGGGATCCTCTCCAAGATACGATACTACGTGCCGCAAAATGCCCTTCTCACACTATACCACTCACTTATTTATCCATACCTCACCTATGCTATTTGTGCTTGGGGATCAACTGCAGCAACACACCTAAAGCCAATAATAACCCAACAAAAAGTCGCAGTAAGAATAATCACTAAATCCCATCCCTGGCAACACCCCCCCCCCCCACTCTTCATAGATCTAAACTTACTCCCTGTTCAGTACATCCACACTTACTACTATGCAATCTACATCTACAGGACCTTAAACTCCAATATCAACCTTGACCTAAAATGCTTTCTTGATAGTTGTGACAGAACCCACAGGCATAACACCAGACACAAACATCTCTACGACATTCCCTGGGTCCGACTAAACCTTTACAAAAATTCAATGTATGTCAAAGGCCCTAATATCTGGAACACCCTACCTGAGAACTCTAGAACTACAGACACATTCATCACCTTCAAAACTACCATTAGAAAACATCTTATCTCCCTGATACACCCCGTCAACTAACTACACGAATACCACCTGGTGGTTCACACTTACACTCACTCACCCATTTGACCATAAACAGAAATATTAATCTCAATCTTAAAATAATGAATCCTGTGATACTCCAATACTGAAACTATGTACTGTGCCAAAACAAAAGCATTCACATTGCTAAACTCACAAACTAGTATTTAGTCACTTAGCCATAATACCAACTTACCTCATAATTTGTAATATTTTAAAATTAAGAATTAAACTGAGTCTGCCCGAAATGCCTAGCCATGCTAGGTGTTCTAGTGGTACACTCTGTAATCATTATTTTACTACATGTAAACCACACAATAACCAAATTCTGTAAACTCAGCATTGTAATCCTTATAGAGAATCTTTGAACCTCTTGCAATACAGATGTCAAACAAAGCATTTTGTGGTGAGCCACACACCACTCAGCACACTGGTTATACCACCAATCACTATAACATTACTCAATATGACATTGTATCTCAAGATTTACCCAATGTGAACCAGTAGCTCAACTGCAGCACTTTTCAATATTTGCTTATCTTTTGTATTCATGCCTGACTATGTTCCTGTCTTCTGCCAACATATTTTGCTACCACCAGGTACAGTATAATCTTTCAGGGTCGAGAGGCCCTCTCCTAAACTCGTTCTCAGGGTTGAAAATTTTTCGGAAAAAACAAAAAAAAAAAATTCTTATGAAATGATAGAGAATCTTTTCCTGATCATAATGACACCAAAAGTATGAAATTTGATGGAAAACTTACGGAATTATGCTATCGCAAAGTTAGCAGTCTTGGCGTTGTTTACGCATCGGCGATTTCGCCCACTTTGAGCTGTATTCTCGGCCAATTTCAGCGTATTAATCGACAAAAATCATATCTATTTTGCTAGAACTCCATTTTTTCTATCGAATGAGTACAAGAAACCACCTATTTACCGATTTCAAGTATCCAATAAAGTGGTCAGAAATTGGCAAATTTGCCAATTTCACACAAATTTCAGAAGATGCCAATTTCCAAATAGGGTCCAGAATAAGCAAGACAGACATTCCTGGCACTAAAATAACATTTTATCTGTTCATCACTCACGTCCCCAGGCCCCTCTTATATCTCTTTTGCTTTCCACTTTGAATTTTTATTCTCACAAAAAAAAATAGAAGATTTACTGTTATGCAGACTACTGCATTAGTGTAGAAATGTTGTAGAAATGGTATAAATAATATCAATGCACTTGTGAAAGAATATTAGACTCGCCAGTTGACGTGACTCTCTGATCGCGGGTTCTATCCTCACCCGTGGTATGTTTTTTTTTTTTTTCAGTTGAAGTGTATTGGACGCTTGGCATGATTTGTTTACTTTTGAAATTTGATAAAAATCGAACATTTCTGCTACTTTGAGCTCAATTTCAAGGTACTTTCCATTATAAAACCAATCAAAATAACTTCAATTTCTGTAATACTGTATGTCTTCAATTCTATAAAATGAGACCAGGAAAACTAGAATACAACCATAAATACCAAACAAAAATACACTGCAAAGTCGCTGTTTTAAACAAAAAACACGGTCGGAGTTTTTTTTCTCATTATGCACTGAGTGCTGCAGGATTTTTTTATATCATGCACACTGACCACATAGACACATTCTTTCATATGCAGGCCTATCAGCTTTCTCTCGCTAGATTTGAAGGTGCTAGAATTTAGGCGTTCTAGTAAGTCAATAAAGGACCTTGATGCGTAAGCCGTACTAGTACGTCAGAAACCCTGAAATGGTTAAAAAAAAGCCTGTGTGTAGGTGAAATGTCTTAAACATGGTTTCTAATTGCTGCTTGTGTGTCTTCATCATCAACTACATAACTATTGGTGCTGGGTGTTCAGAATCTGGCAATATATAATGGAATAATATAAACTGATGGTAGGGGTTTACTCTACCAGAACTCTAACAGAAAAAGAAATTACAGACCTACATCTACCTTCCTGTCACTTACATTTTATTATGGAATACCATACAATAATAAAAGTCAAATGTTCCTAAAAACTGCAATTATTACTGCCAGAATGATCATTAGAGTAATGGGAAAGAATTGCAGAACAAAGAAATAAGTGGTAAGGACATTTAAGCATCATGGGGAAAAAATAAAAATGAACAACTTTAGTGCAAATGTTGGCCATGAAGAAAAGAAAAGTGTTAGGTGAAGACACATGCAGTACAGTTATGGATATAATTCTGCATTGTGTCTGGATATATCAGGTAAAAATATTCAATCACAATGGAATATGTCAACTGACATCTTCAAGAGATTTTCGAGTGCAGCTAAATGGGAATTAAAAATTAAAGTCCCAAACTTCTTTTGGAAGAAATCTGGTATGATATAACAAAAAATGTCAAGCCCTTTAAAGTGTGAAGATCTGTCACTTTTTATGAGAATGATGAGGGAAATGAAAAGGAGTTGAGGAATATTTCCATTACCAGTGAAATATCCAAGATAAATATTTATAAATTTAATGACTATAGCATCAGGGTGTTAAATGTTAGTGTGATCAGCTTTACCACTGTCTGCATGTTCAATGAAAAGAATTATGAAAAGACAATTATCAATGATCTTACAGTGCACAAGCATCACATAGATTAATGGAAAATAAATTTTACCTACACTTTTCATTAAATAAGCAATAGTTCTGCTAAAAAACTTAGATTGACCCTTTTCCTCAGAAAAGGCCAACCTAAGTTTTTATCCTAAATGGAGTAGAATCAAACTAGAATATTATCCTGGAGTCAACAGTTCATGACATGTATCACCAGAAAATATTTTAACCTTAAAAGTTGCAATTATAATGAAGATTTCAAGAAAAACTGGCATATGTAGAATGATGTGAACTCCATTTGGTTGAAAAGCATAATCACCATTGGATTTGGCTGGTAACTGATTAGGTGACTACACAGATATAACCTAGCCTCTGAACTAAGGGACTGCTATAAGCCTCTGGCAACCTGTCCCCAAACCCTGATGGCAAAACTAGTAAATCCACTTGTATAAAAATGCATGATAAATGGATCACCTATCACAAAGCTCACAGATGGAAAATTCTTAGGAATCCACCTTGATAATAGGCTCAAATTTCAAACACATGTACAACAAATTTCCAAGAAAACTTCCAAGATCGTAGGCATACTATCGAAGATACTATGTTTCACAGTCAGCCCTCCTGGCCCTATATCACTCACTCATTTACCCCTATCTCACCTATGGAATTTGTGCATGGGGCTCAACAACAATAAACCATCTCAGACCATTAATTACCCAACAGAATGATAACAAATTCCCACTACCGGCAGCATACTCCATCAATATTCAAAACTCTAAACCTACTCACCGTACAAAACATCCATACTTATTATTGTACCTACTACATACATAGAACACTTAATTTGGATATAAACCCTCCCCTCAAACATCTTACCAACCTGAACAGAACACATGACCATAACACAAGGCACAGATCACTCTTTGATGTTCCTCGTGTCCATCTCACACTATGCAAAAACTTAATGCACATAAAAGGCCCAAAAATCTGGAATTCATTACCTGTGACCATAAAAGAAACAATGTCTGTTTATAAATTCAAGTCTCTTCTTAAAAACCACTTACTCACCCACAACTAAATAAATACTGCATAACTGTTTCTCATAAATTATAACCTGTGACCCTATCAAACTTTGTTTTTTGAATTACATTACCTAATAAAATACTCCATTCTCTTGAATGCACAGCAACTCATCAAATGACCATATGATCTGTCTTTGAAATACTCATTTGTGCTTAATTGTTATTTGTTTAATGTCATTTTTACCACTGAATATATCATTGCTTAGTTAATCTTAAGTTAATTTTAAGCCTACCCATAATGCTCTGCATACAAAAGGCTTTTGGCATGTACACTTAACCACTGTATTTCTATGTATCATGTCCAAATAAATAATAAATAAATAAATGTATGCACATCATTATTTTCCTATTAAGAAAATTTATCAATATTCCCTATCTTCATTATAGCATTACAGCAGCTATCATACCTACAGAAATACATTTCCTAACATGCAATTTGAGAGTAAGCATAAAGAAATTAAAATTAGGTTCTACCTGAACTCTATCAACTATCTTTAGTTTCAGCACCTATAACATGGTTTAGTCTATTAATATTGTTTGTGAAACAATTCTAAATTAAAATTTTATTAGTGTAGTTTTATTTTGAACTTAGTATATTAAAGAATCACTTGCCAGTCCTCTTGGCTTGGGAAGAAAGTTATCCAACTTGTCTGCAACCCATTGAAAGTTCCTCTTTACCTCGCTCAGTCCCTCATCCGTCACAGTCTTCAAATTGCGGTATACCTGTGAAGTACAATTTTTAGAATGTACTAGAATTTTAAGTCTTAAAATGGCTGAAATAAATAAGCTCAGGATAGGTGGGTATATCCAATACAAAAATTTTATAAAAAAAAAAAAAAAATCCAAAGCTAATCAATGCCTTTTAAAAAGTATGTTAACACTTTCACTGTCTAGACCACCAAAATTAATATCACCCCAAGTGTCCACTTTAAAAAAAAACTGATATAGTATACAATCCTTTTCTGAAGGTAATGACACCTAAAGTATGAAATTTGATGAAAAACTTACAAAGTTAGAAGCCTGGGTGCACTTTATGCATTGCCAACTTCACCCTCTTTCAGTCCTATTTAAAGTAAATTTCAATGCCCCAAGAGGCCAAATTCTTAGCTATTTTGTTACTATGCCTTTCATGAGCACAAGAAACTGCCCATTTCTGGCACTAAAATAACATTTCCTCTGTTCATTAATCACATCCTTCCATTTTGAATTAATAATCACACAAAAATAGAAGATTTATTCCACTTTGAATTCATAATCTTTATCCGTCCTCAGGAAAATTAGCAAAAGGCGAATATTTCCATTACTTTGAGCCCAATTTCAAGCTCCTTCCAATCCTGAAACCAACCAAAATCATTTATATTTCAGTAGATTGTCTTTCATTCTATCAAATAATACCAAGAAACAGGCAATCAAACCATAAAAACCATCCTAGAAAACACCTCAAATTAACTATTTTAATCAAACACATGGTCAGTTTTGCTTTTCCCATCATGCACTGTGTGGGGCAGGATTGTTTTTATACAGTGTACACCCACCACACAGGCCCATGCCAAGTTCATGATGTTGAACTATGTAAGGGACCCTGGCCTCAATGACCTAGTTCTAAGAGATGGTCACTGAAAGGGTTAAGTTGTGAAAAGAAATCATTTTTTCATAGCAATTATATAACAGCTTATAAATCAAGTAATACAGTAATCAGCAGTTTTAAATATCTTTAAATACATTTTGATGATAAACCAAGATAACCTGCCTGTTTGTCCTTCATGAGCCTTTTGTCACCTGCCGGCCACAATCTCCAGGAGTCAGAGTCAATTGTGTCAGAAACCAGGATGTCTTCTAATGGAAAAAACAATAATCCATTTAAATCTGAATTTCTTTAATATGGCAATGTATTTATTTTAATCTTCAATTATTTTACTCGACTGCTGCCAACTATTTCCACCACTGGCCAGGGCTGAGTAGTACAACAGATGCCTTACCCTTGCATCTGTCTCCTAAAAAAATTGCATAAAACACTGTGCTCTGGGAGGAAAAAATAAGGCATGTAACAATAGTTACTACCCTACAGTATGAATTACTAGGATGAGGAAGTCTATTTTTTTTTTTCCCCAAACCACTATCACTGTGGTAATCAAATGATTACATGTGAAGATCTACCAGGAAACCAATGCTATACAAAATTAATTTGTAAAATAAAAGAACTTTTGATAAAACTAAGGATGTTTGAAGCAGAAATCATTAAAATAATACAGTGCTTAATTAACAAGAAAAGCATTGGTATTTTTTTAAGTGTTATTGTATTCAATTTCTTGCAATTCCGATACCTAAGACCACTGATCAGCATTACATCATAAAGATTAATATCACTCATTTATTAACTAGATTCCCACCAAGCCTTTCTCTTGCATGTTCCTCAAATCACTGGCACTTACTAGTTTCTGCATCAATTCCAAATTCTATCTTCATATCAATGAGAGCACAATCTAAAGCCCCCCATGCACGTTCCAGCACCTCAAACACTGTCACAGTTGTACGTGCCATAATATCATACTCATAGCGCCCAATCACTACACCTCCAACATTCAGCTTTGCTTCTAAAACCTGTTCTTCACTCCACTGTGGGTCATGGTTTGCATCATCCTGGCAAAAGAATCAAAATCAATGTCCTTCAAATAAAAAAACTTTGTATGTGCATCTCAATTTACCAGGAATCTTCAGTTTAAATAACAATTGCCAGTATGTATTACCTATTTGGAATAAATATAGACTAGAATTAGATCTCTAGTAGTTATTTACTGGAATGAGGTATGTACTAAGAGGCAATTTAACTGTTATCCACTCCTTTTGATAATATAAAAACTATTTCCAAATAGATTTAATCAAGAGCTACTTTCTTAAATATGTATTTGGGACCCTTCATGACAATAACAATTCAGTGACAGTCATAATGCATCCATTCAGATTACAATTACTTCTTTAGAACACTTAAAATACTGAGCAATACCAAACCCAGGTAAATACTAATCTGAATTTTTTATATGAATTTATTTAATACAAGCAACACGTGACATTCTTCACCTTAAAAAATGTCTCCATCTTAGGTGGTGTGAATCGGTAACCCTCAGTGACACCAACATTACGCTTTAAGAAGGACCCTGTTGCAACTCTACGAGTCACCCATTCTAGTGGTACCATGTGGCATTTACGAGCCAAGTATGTAGTGCTGTCACATGTTCGTATCCATGATGTCTTGATACCTGTTAAGTCAAAGGATGTGTTACAATACAGATTTGATGAAGAAGAAAATTTTAATCTATCTGTTCATGACAGACTGTTATTAATTCCTTAAACAGAATAACAATTTAAATTCATAAGATGGCATCCCATTGCAAATCATCCTTTGAAGATTCTGGGACTTGCATGAATAATACTAAAGTTTGCTATTTTTTTTTTTCAGACTAAACAAGTTGATGGAAAACTGATCTAGATTGGCCCACCATTCTAGTTTTGTCCACTATTTGCTTCATAGAGACCCATGCACAGAGGATTAAGAAAGTTAAGAGATTATACAACACTATAAAAATACAGGTAGTACATGAAGGTATCTAAATTGACCAATTTGTATAATGTGCCAAGTACTAGGATCCAGTGGACATTCAGTGTGTGTATATGAAAAAACAAGACATTAGCAAAAATAATAAGACAATATCTTACAGAAAATTAAGTTAGCATCCAGTAAAAATTTATTAAGCTATCTAAAGGTATATGTGAACTATTGCTTAAAATATCAAAGATATCTCTTCAGACATCACATAAATTAAAAATGTAATTAAATTTAGAAGATCTAAATTGAAACACAAGATTTAAAAAATTCCTTACTACCACTTTCATATCACAGGGCCCCTATCAGGTGATGGTATTTCTGCTGAAAGATTTAGGTTAAAAATTTCATCCTTGACCCTCTACAGATTATTGCTGAACCTAAAATGCTTTCTTGATAGTTGTGACAGAACCCACAGGCACAACACCAGACACAAACATCTCTATGACATTCCCCGTGTCCGACTAAACCTTTACAAAAATTCAATGTATGTCAAAGGCCCTAAAATCTGGAACATCCTACCTGAAAATTCCAAAACTGCAGACACATTCATCACCTTCAAAACTACCATCAGAAAACATCTTATCTCCCTGATACACCCTGTCAACTAATAATACGAATACCACCTGGTGGTTCACACTTACACTCACTCACCCATTTGACCATAAACAGAAATATCAATCTCAATCTCAAAATAATGAATCTTAACTAGTCAAAAGTTGGCCTGTGATACTCCAATACTGAAACTATGTATAGTGCCAAAACAAAAGCATTCACATTGCTAAACTCACAACTAGTATTTAGTCACTTAGCCATAATACCAACTTATCTCATAATTCTGTAACATTTTAAACCTAAGATTTAATATAAGTCTGCCCGAAATGCCTAGCCATGCTAGGCGTTCTAGTGGTACACTCTAATTATTATTTTACTACATGTAAACCACACAATAACCAAATTCTGTAAACTCAGCATTGTAATACTTATAGAGAATAAAGTTTGAATTGAATTGAATTGAATTGAAAGTCCCAGTGGAACTGTAGCTTTTAACATATAAACCTATGTTGCCCATAAAAATCACTAAGGCACACTTCTGCTATGTAGAATACAGTACAGTAGTCCCCCCATATCTGTGCAGGATCCATTCCAAGACCTACTGTGCATACTCAAAATCGAAGATAGTAGCAAATCCTACATACAAGTCATTTTTTGTTTGCATACATATCTATGATAAAGTTTAATTGATAAATTATGCACAATAATTGGAGAATTATCACTTTTCACTGATGAGAAGCACCTCAGGGCTTCTCTTAGTCTTTGGAGAACTGTCATCACCACTACTTTTGTGCTTTGTGGTCATTATTATGCAAAATTAAGGCATATTTTTGGGCCACAGGAAACCATGGAAAACAAACTCTGGAAACTGGACTCACAGATAAGGGGGGTCCTACTGTACCCAATAAAGCAGTTTTCAGCCTCAGCATCTGTCATCTAAGATCCCAATATATACATATATACCCACGGCACAAGCAAAATTTCACATCCTTTAATTCAAATGGATTTTTGTTAACCATTCCCAAATTTCCAGGCAACAAATTAAACAAAGGCAAATTTTTGCCATTGCCATCAGATCATCATATAAGTCAGTGAACAGTACACAATAAAACTTTCTAAGGGACATTAGGCATTGTAAGTGATGCAAGAATGGCAAGCAGATCAGTAGATCTGCACGCCATTCTTTCATAGTAAAAGAATCCCATGCAAACACATATTTGAGCTATCTGTCAACACTTTAATCACCGATGCAAGTACGTACAGTACAGTGGAACCTCGGCTTTCGTGATTAATCCGTTCGAAAAAGTCCAACGAAAACAGAATCATACGAAAACTAAAGCAATATTTCCCATAAGAAATAATGTAAATCCAATTAAACCATTCCAGACACCCAAAAATATTAATACAGTAAAAAATACATTTTATACAGAATAGCTATAGCTTTACATATGGAAAACAATGAGAAATAAATATGACTAATGAAATGAAAAAATGAACATTTAACATCACTTTTACCTTTATTGAAGACTCTTGTTGGCATATGGAAGACAGCGAGGAGGGGAGAGGGAGGAGGAGAGGTTATTGTTTGGAAGGGGAATCAACGAATTCTTTGGCCCCATGTTTGTCCGAACTTGCAGCCTTACCACACTGCCAGTTCGCTTCTTGAATTTGTCGAACCAGCCTCTGCCGGCCTTAACCCTTTCAGGGTCCATGCCGTAGTTCTACGGCTTTGAGGTGAGGGTCCAAACCGCAGTTCTACGCCATGAGCTCAGCCCACTCAGATAAGCTGTGTGCAGTAAATTTGGGCCTACATATGAGAGAATACATCTATGTGGTAAGTGTGCACCACATAAAACAAATCCTGCAGCACACAGTGAAAGTACTTTAGAAACATTCAATGCAACCTGGCTGTTGGGAAGAATTATAACTTTGTTAGGAGTGGTGTTCGTGCGTGGAGAATTAATAATCTGAAGAGCTCCTCTCTTGCAATCTTTGAACGTTTCTAAAGTACTTTCACAAGCTAACACTAGAGTCGCTATCGCTTCCAGCACTTCAATAAAGTATCTAACCAGGACAAAATCCAAGCACCACGAACCAGTCAACGCAGGGGTTTACACTATACCCTGTGGAGGCAGAGACAAGATTTATGTAGGTGAAACAGCAAGAAACCTCGACACCCACCTCAATGAACACCATTTATGCACGTAGGAACAATAACTTGAACAATGCCTGTGTACAACACCAGAATTCCACCAAACATCTCATGAAATTCAGGGATGCCCAATTAGTGATCAAAGAAACTAATTTCCACAGACGCAAGTGCCTTGAATCACTAATCGCCGTTTCTAATACAATTAAAAAAAAACAAAGGCAGCTTCACCATCTCTGAAGTCTTAGCAAGACTCCTCCTGAAAACAGTAAACCTTGCCATCACATAGTGTCTCCTGCTAATACTACACAAGCACATTACAGAGGATGTACACTGAAATAGGCCTTCTCTAATTCAACCTCCAATAGAAATATTTGTCTAACTTATTTTTAAGCTACCCAAGTTATAGCTTTTATATCCTTTTACTCATATGCAAATTAATTATTCTACCTTACTGTATTACTGCTACTACTACAACTTATATCACTACTACTACTACTACTACTACCACCACCACCACCTCACTCTAAGTCTACATATACCCTCTGTGTCCATACATTGTTGGTAACAGCTTGACAAAGCTCCTGGAGAGTGAAACGTTGCCACAATAAAATGTCACATTAGTTGCACTTGTGTCCTTTTACTTTACAGCTTACATGTCACTCTAAACAGCAAATATCCTAACCCCCTCCTTTATAGTGCAGGCACTGTACTTCCCACCTCCAGGGCTCAAGTCTGGTTGAACCAGTTTCTCTGAATTCCTTCACAAAATATTACCCTCCTCATACTCCAACAGCTTGTAAAGCACCAAAAACCCATTAGTCTCCACTCACTCCTATCTAACAAGCTCACATATGCCTGCTGTATGTCCAAGCCCCTTACACACAAAACCTCTTTTACCCCCTTCCTCCATCCTTTCCTAGGACAACCCCTACCCCTCCTTCCCTCCACTATAGATTTATATACCCTCTCCGTCATCCTATTTTGCTCCATCCTCTGTAAATGACCAAACCCTTCCTCAGCTCTCTGAATAATACTTTTAATAACCCTGCACCTCCTCCTAATTTCCACACTACGAATTCTCTGCATAATATTTACACCACACACTGCCCTTAAACACAACATTTCCACTACCTCCAGCTTCCTTCTTGCTGCTGCATTTTACAACCAAAGCTTCACACCCATATAAGAGTGTTAGTACCACTATACTTTCATACATTCCTTTCTTTGTCTCCATGGATAATGTTCTTTGTCACCACAGATACCTCAATGCACCACTCACCTTTATTTCTCCATCAGTTCTATGGTTTACTTCGTCTTTCATATTAAATTTAATACTATTTCAAAATGTTTACTACCCAATTACTAAAATAAATAATGGCAGCTACAGATCTATGATATATTTTTAGCTAACTAATAAAAATGTAAATTAAGGTCTAAATGAATAAACTGAAAGATGAACAGGAGGCTCTAACTCTGGTCCAGAGATTAGCAGGTCCAGTGCTGGGCCTGTTAACCACAGTTTGAGCCTCCAGTCCACCTTTCTGTTTATTCAATGACAGCCATTCATTATGACAAACCGAGTTTAAAGTCTAAATATTTATAATCTGGAAAATTACCTAGCCTGAATAAGGCTAGTTATTTAATATTAAGATATTTTTTGCACATTTCTTTGGACTGTATACACAGTTCCCCAAGAGATATATGAAATCTCAATTTTTGGTAGGCATAAGACCCACCTGCCTCATTAAGGAACATGAAGACCTTGCCATTCGTGGCATTGGAAATAGCGGCCTTGCCCTCCAAATCATGTGCCCTGGCACCATCGCCTGCTGTAATGCGATCCTTGTTCACAACTAAGACGACTCTTGGGTTGTCAGCCACTCCATGAACCACCTTCGTTTTGCCCTCAATAATCACTTTACCAGGATTGATTTCTAGCAGAAAGAAAGTCATTGGATGAGACATGAGAAGGTTTAAAACATACCTAGCAGTTACAAGAAAATTAGGAAAAAATAATCCTCAGGTTTCAGCATAGCTGTAGCAGCCCAATAGGAAATTATGACATACCCAAGGAAAAGTTCATGACATGAATTAAGATTATCATCAAAATAAATTCATGACACAAACAAGAGGTACAGAAATATATTCAATACAGTATCAGACTTTAAAAAGGAAAAAAATTAATTGTAAACAGTACATTATTTCAGTGAATATAACGTACCTGTAAGATATTATGAATTTCCAGATATAATTCCTCATTCACTGACTGTATTAAATGCACATGCATGAAAGCACCAAACTATTTTTCTTAACAATGGTTGCTGAATCTGAACTCTATGCCTGTAATACCTATTTTCAGGCTAGTGTATACAAAGGTTACTGGCACTTTACTAACAATGAACACTTATGAAGTAACTGTGAAATTGTATTTGTACATCAATAAATATACTTAAAAACTAAGACTGTTTTAATCATAAAATTTGCCAAACAATGAAGCAGTCAATCACTCACCAACTTTCAACATTAATTTTTACTATTTTGTAAAAGTCATTTATTATTTTTTAGTCTTTAAATATACTATACAGTGGACCCCCGCATAGCGATATTAATCCGTGCAAGAGAGCTCACTGTTATGCGAAATTATCATTATGCGAATGAATTTTCCCCATAAGAAATAATGGAAATCAAATTAATCCGTGCAAGACACTCCAAAGTATGAAAAAAAAAAATTTTTACCACATGAAATATTAATTTTAATACACACAAACTGAAAAAGGCATGCACAATTACATGACACCTACTTTTATTGAAGATCTGGTGATGATTGATGGGATGGGAGGAGGAGAGAGTGTTAGTGTTTAGAAGGGGAATCCCCTTCCATTAAGACTTGAGGTGTCAAGTCCTTTTCTGGGGTTACTTCCCTTTTTCTTTTAATGCCACTAGGACCAGCTTCAGAGTCACTGGAGTTCTGTCGCACAACATATCTGTCCATAGTGGCCTGTACCTCTCGTTCCTTTATGACTTCCCTAAAGTGTTTTCACAACATTGTCAGTGTAATAGTCACCAGCACGGCTTGCAATGCTTGCAATAGCTGTGTGAGGGTGATTTTCATCCATGAAGGTTTGCACTTCAAACCCAAACTTTGCACAGATTTCCTTAATCTTTGTAGTAAGGCAATTTCATCAATTCTCTCTCCCCTCCTTCGAACCAGTTTCCTCAGGTCTGGCCTCTTGCTGTTGAAGTTGATCTATCAGCTCATCAGTGGTTATTCTTCTTTGGGTCCTCCTCCACCAACTCTTCCACATCATCCCCACTAACCCTCCAACCCTAAGGACTTTTCCAATGCCATAATGGATTCCTCAACTGGCATAGATTCTCAGGGTTATCCTGAAACCCTTCAAAACCCCTTTGGTCTACAATTCTGGCCACAGTTTCTTCCAAGCAGAGTTCAAGGTCTTCTTAGTCACTCCTCCCAAGCCTTACCTATAAGGTTTACACAACTGAGGATATTAAAGTGATCTCTTCCAAACTCCTTAGAGTCAGTTGAGTTTCTGAGGTCACTACAAAGCAACTTTCAAACAGAGCTTTTGGGGTACAGTTTTTTTTGAAGTTGAAATAACCTCCCTGGTCCTTTGGGCTGAAAGGAGAGGAGGGGAAATTAGGAGGCAAAAACTTCACCTTAATGAATTTCATGTCCCCATAAGTCGCTCTGCCACGTCTGTAGGATGACCAGGGCATTGTCTAACACCAGGAGGGACTTAAGTTCTAATTTTTTTTCAGTTAGGTAATCTTTCACATTGGGGCAAATGCATGGGTGTAACCATCATAGAAAAAGTCCCAGTGACCCATGCCTTACTTTTTTGCCCTCCACAGCACACACAAATTCTCCTTGAGGACATTCTTTTGCCTGAACGCTCTGGGAGTTTCAGAGTGATACACTAATAAAGGCTTCACTTTGCAATCACCAGTAGCATTGGAACACATCAACAGAGTAAGCCTGTCTTTCATAGGCTTATGTCCTGGGAGTGCCTTTTCCTCCCGATAATGTAGGGCCTGCTTGGCAAATTTTCTTCCAAAACAGGCCTGTTTCATCACATTAAACACTTTGTTCAGGTTTCAGTCCTTCAGTTTCTATGTACTCCTTGAATTCCTGCATATATTTTTCAGCTGCTTTGTGGTCCGAACTGGCAGACTCACCATGCCTAATCACACTATGTATGCCACTACGCCTCTTAAATCTCTCAAACCAACCTTTGCTGGCCTTAAATTCACTCACATCATCACTAGTTGCAGGCATTTTTTAATAAATCCTCAGCAACTTCCTAGCCTTTTCACTTATGATCACTTGAGAGATGCTATCTCCTGCTATCGTTTCTCATTTATCCACACCAATAAGAGTCTCTCAACATTTTCCATCACTTGCGATCTCTGTTTCGAAAACACAGTTAAAACCTTTGGCAAAGAACAGCTTCCTTGATTGGCCTTTTTGTTGCCCACAATAGCACGATGGTTGATTGGGGTTTACTATACAACCTGGCCAGCTCGGGGACACGCACTCCACTTTCATACTTATAAATGATCTCTTTCTTCATCTCTATAGTAATTCTCACCCTTATTGCCCGTAGGGTTGGCACTAGAAACTTCTTGGGGGCCCATGGTCACTTATTTTTCAGATAAAATCCCCGAAAACTGTAATAA